CTCTCGTCACATGGCGGGCGCGCGGGGGCTCGGCGCGCGGGCCAAACGGGCGTGCATTATTGTAAGCGTACCGCTACATATCTATTCCCACATGTCCTATCTCGTCATGATTAAGCCGTATAATCGTATTTATCATATTTTCCGGGATTACAAACAGGTCCTTATCCTAATACCTACGGAACAACAACCCATCAATTAAATGGAAATGCTTACTACCTTTTAATTCCACGTTTTCGGCAATTTCCTTCAACCTGAGGTTGCTCAGCTGTTAGAACAGAAGCTCATCCTCGACGGTGATGACGTTTAACGTATCTATGTTTCGACTTAAAAAGTCAACGTGTGCCATTTTATCATGACCGATGGATAATTTCAAATTTATAATTTTGGAGAGCCAACGTCCATCGCGCGATACGAGGATTAATGTTAACCTTTTTCATTGCCAACGCTAGTGAATTGCAGTCGGTTACAATCTTAAAGGGCATGCCCTGTAAGTACACGTGAAAGCGCTCCACAGCTTTCACAATTGCAAGGGTCTCAAGCTCAAAACTATAATAATTCTTTTCTGCATCGCTGGTTGCTTTACTGAAATAGGCAATCGAAGCGAGCCAACCAGTTTTTTGTTTTTGCAGCAAAATAGCTCCGAACCCCTGCATGCTGGCGTCTGTATAGGGGAGCGTCCCGTTTGACCACGTCCCGATTGACCACAGCCACTCACAGCGGCCGGTGCCTAGAGATTTTCCACTGTTCAAGCGCTGTGAGTGGCTGGTGGTCAATCGGGACGTGGTCAATCGGGTATCACCCGTCTGTATAGAGCTCAGTTTTTGCCAGCGGATTATAAATGTGCAAAACAGGTGAAGACGTTAATTCTTTTTTAAGCAAGTCGAAAGCTGCCTTACAATGTTCATCAAACAAAAAAGGAACATTTTTCTTGGTTAACTGATGCAACGGTCTGGCCTTTAAAGCGTAATCTTTTATAAATTTCCTGAAATAGTTGATTAGACCAAGAAAGCCTTGCAATTGCCTCACATTCTGCGGATAATTGTAATTTAAAATAGATTGCATATGGCGCTGATTTAACATGATACCCTCGGCTGAAATTACATACCCCAAATATTCGATTTTATTTTTTAAAAATGCACACTTCGCGTAGTTAAGTTCTAAATTATACTGTTTTAACAAGGATAACACTTCTTCCAAAATTTCCAGATTCTCCTCGATCGTGGATGTCGCAATTAAAATATCATCCATGTATACCAAGATCTTGCCACTCTGTATCAAAGGATCAAACAAATAACAAACTCTCTTCTGGAATTCGGCCGGAGCTTCCGAGTACCCAAAAGGCATCTTCACATAATCAAACTGTCCATGAGGCACCGAAAAAGCAAAATATTTTGTATTCTCCGGATGTATATCAATTTGGTGGAATCCATCTTTTAAATCAAGTTTAGTATATACACCCTTGCCGTGCAATTGATCCAACTGATCCTCGATTATTGGAAACGGATATTTCTGAGGGTTGATCCTTTGATTCAGGGGCCTCAGGTCGATACACATGCGCTTCCTCCCATCCCGCTTATCTATCAGCACCACCCGAGAGCAGTATGGCGAAATGCTAGGCTTGATTATACCGCGTTCCAGCAAGTCATCGGTTATAGCGCGCAGTTCTTGTTTTTCGGTGTAAGAGAACCTGCGAGGAGCGTATCGATACAAGGAGGGATCCTTTAGATGTACTCGAATTTTATAATTATCAGTAATAGGGGTTATCTTCGATTTTTCGACCCTTTTCAAAAGACTTATCAACGTCTCCCTCGTCCGACACTCAACACTCCCATCCAAGTTATCGATCGCAATGTCGCAGCGTTCCTTCGAATCAAAAATGTCAATTTGGAAAATAAAATTAATCTGCATGGGCTCCTCCGTTGGACATTCAAACTTGAATTTACCGTTTTGACAAACTAGCTTAATCCCTGAGTTGATTAGAAACTCGCGCCCCAACAAAATATCAAACGCGATAGTCGAATCGTCCACCACCAATAGAGATACATCAAACCACCTGTTGACTTCCCCCTCCAAGCAGATTTGATCATATATCTTTCCAAAGACTTTAATCTCCGAATTGTTAATTCCTTTTAAATTTAGACATTTATTTACCCGAAACAAGTTTGCATTCGCAAAATACCTCTGACACACCGATCTTCGGATAAGATTCACCGGACTACCGGTATCGATGAGAGCGCGAAAAGACCTATCCTGAGAGCCGCATCTGAAGACTGAGATGTATGGAGTTTCCTTCTCGATGACATAGACTCCACTCGATGCCTCCTCATCCACAGCAGCCTCCATGGGAATCACTTCCTCCTCCACCGGTTCGTCCCTTAGATGATTCAACATAGCTCCCGGAGCAGGCCTCCCCCGCGGGCAGGCTGAACTTAAGTGACCTCTTTGACCGCACGCATAACACGTCATGGTGGCAATTCTGCAATCTTTCGCTAGGTGGTCCGCTTTCTTGCAATGTGCACAAGTAATGCCCGCCCGGGTGGAAGCAAGTTTCGGACTGACACTTCGGTTTGTGGATCCCGTACTCGGCCATCGAGCAACCATGTCGTCCTCCGTAATCCTCCGCATGTGCTCCAAAAATTCCGGCACACTGACGGCCCATGAGTTTAACGCAAACCGTCTAAAGCCAAAGTCCCGGACACCGTCGGCCAGCAATTCGATCCTCTCCCTCTCCGACAGATTGAGGAACTGCATCCACTTCAGCTTATCCTCCGCGTAGTCCACGAACCTCTCGGTGTGCGTTCTCCACACTCGTGCGTTTACACGTGACAATGTCATGGTTACTGTCTCCTTCCTCTCAAAATACGCCCGAATCTGGCGCTTAAAATCCTGCCACGACGCCACCGATTCCACTGACTGTCGATTATACCAGCCGATCGCGCGATCCGTCAATTGATTCACAGCCGCCAGGACCAAGACCTCATCGGGGATCTGATACATCCTAG